TCTTTTCTCTACTTTTCTCACTTCCTTCTGTATATTGCTGATATAGATCTATTTCTTAGAGGCATTTTCCTGTCAGCACTAATGAAAACACTTAGTCATTTTCCAAAGTGACACTGAAGTCACAGTAGTGACTTTTCCTAGCTGCCTAATGCGTGATGAAAATAGATATACACTCAGGTCAAGTAATAACCAAACAATTTATTTTAACTGAAACTAATTACTCAAAATATATTTTCAGTCTGTATGGGAGCTCAAGATCACCTGACCGAGAATTAAACAAAGCCTTAGGCCAATCTGGAGTCTGATTAAGAAACGGTAACAACACTAATGCTAACATAAAATAACAAAGTCATTTGTTTACTTTGAGATGGACACCAAGATACTGATGTTGTCATGTAGAATCTTAAAATTATATAAAGATCATTCTAGGCTTTCCCATTTTGAATATGAAAAATATGAGCACCAGAGAAGTTAGGTGACTTGTCCAGGGACAGCTGATCAGTCCCAGAGCTGGGTCTCAATTCCAGATCTTTCCACCATCACTCGTACATTCAGTTGTATACTGCACCATGGTCCTTCCCAATCTTTTTTGGCTGTGACATGACCACTGCCAAGAAATGAGGTATAACGGGAAGGGACACACCCATAAGCTTGGTGGTACCAGTCTTGCCAGTGTAGGAGTAAATGAGGACCCTGACCGTGACTGCGTCTTTGGGCGGCAACAGGAAGGAATCCCTGGGCTGCCTACGCTAATACCTACCTCCTCTGATGTCATGGGTGGGGACGTGTGTCTGTATATGTATGTTTATGTAACCATGGTGCATAATGGAGAAATAACACTTCTTAAACTTATTTGTTCCTAACGTTCATCAGAATTAGATCTCAGATATTAGTCTCTAGCAGAATTTATTTTGGAACTTTGCATGTTACATTTGATATTTCTGAAACTGTAAGGCAGGAGGGTGGTGGTAGAATAACGGAAAGAAGATTTTCAGTTATAAAGTCAAAAGTTAGAAAGAGAAAACAATTAAATGTTTAAGGTATATCGGCTTTATCTTACTGTAGATATAGTAAGATATATTTTAGAAGTCAGTATCTATATTTTTGAATTATTATAAGATTTGACTGCACAAAAAGAAGACAGATAAAGGTAAAATGAAACACACTCTCAAAGGAGTTAAATAAAATGTATCTTGTGTCACTACTGAATGACTACATAACATATGGACAAGCTACAGTAACCACCACCCCACTTACTGGGGACTTATTACGTGCCTGGGTGGTACAAATGGTTAAGCACTGGACTACTAACCAAAAGGCTGGCAGTTCAAACCCACCCAGAGATACCTCAGAAGTAAGGCCTAGTGATCTGCTTACAAGAGGTCACAGCCTTGAAAACCCTATGTAGTATGGTTCTACTCTACATACTTGAGGTCTCCATGAGTCGGAATAAACACAACAGCAACTAACAACAATATTATGTGAGAATTACTAAACTATGCCTTTACCTACATTATCACTAATTTTCACGAAAACTTTGCACCAGAGGCATACATTGTTTCTATTTACAAATGAGGGACCAATGGATCAGAACATTTGGTGAATTACCCAAGTTGGCCAATCTATTAAGAAGCAGAGAAGGATAGGGATTTAAATCCTAGTGAATATAACTCTTAACCCCACATGCTTTCTACTATACCAGTCTGTCTACCACTTATCGCATATGAAAACAATATGTGTAACTTTGGGGAACCTGTAGATTGTTTGTCCTCAAGCCTCTGCACTGTGTCATCTAACATCTCAACAGTAACAAAAGTTGACCATTGGTTGAGTTGCTGACTCACAAATTGTTTATCTCAAGATGGGAGGTCAGTACCAAGACGTCATTTGAAACTTAGGCTTGTCCTAGGTGACAGGTTTTCAAAATCACTGTAATCAGGTTGGAGTAGCCAAAATAATCAAAAATCTCCATTAAGTACCCAGGTGGCATAAGATGGAAAAAGATTCTGAGAAAAATGCAGACAATAATAGACAGGTATGAAAGTAAATATGCTCATAAAATATTGAGTATTTTAGTTTGGCAAGAGCGAGAGATGTGTCAAAGGATGTTGGTCTAATTTAACACAGGACTGGAGTGAAGAGGTCTGGGATGTGAGCTTGTCCCTGGGATGTGGATGTGGGATGTGATTGTGAGAACTTGGACAAGTTAACATTTCTAGGCTTCAGTTTTCTCACCAATAAAACGAAGGATTGATCTAGACCCGGGGTCAGAAAACTTTTCCTATAAAAGGTCAGACAGTACATACTTTTGGCTTGCTGGTCATACAGTCTCTGCCACAACTATTCAACTCTGCCTTTGCAGAAAGAAAGTAGTCATAGACATTAAGAAATGAATAAACATGGTAGTGTTCCAATAAAACTTTATTTATAAAACATATGGTGAGTCACCTGTGGCAACAACAGTATCTGGGATCCCTTGCATCTGTACAAATCTAATATTCTACACTACTATAACAGGACCCTGAAACTAGAACTAGTATCCAGCTGTTATGCACAGGATGGCTTAACAAATGTCACTCTGACTGGGTGGAGTCCAGGCTGTATCAGGCATTAAATACTCTGAACACCCTCTCTGTCTGGAATCACCACTTAATTAGATGAAAAGGACTTCAGCAAGGACCTCTCTCTGTGGTTCTTATGACATCTTATTATGTTTTTATTTTTTCATCACAATTAAATTTAGATCAGGGTGTACAGAACTTTGTATGCCTAATAGAAATTCTGCAAAATGTAAACATTTGTCAACATTAACCTTCCTTGCTAACCCTGTCATGGAAATGTGAGTGAATAATAAAATCATTCAAAAGGGAAGAAATTGAGGAAAATTATGAAGGAAAGCAGAAATTGAAAATCCACAATTTGGGTAATTTGCTTCTGAAAACTCACTATCGACGTTAACTTCTTATAAAATATTAAAACATTCATTTTAAAGTCTCCAGAGTACTCTACCTCCATGAGCCTACTCCCATCCCTGACTATTGGCATGTTACTGTCATTATTTTGACACTACTAATAAGAAAAATCTTTGGAGCACGTCTGGAAGTTGAGGTCAAATGTACCTGTGGCCAATAGTCATGATTACCCAGTGCCGGGAAAACCTGGAGATTCGGAAAGAGACTCTGGACGGTGGTTGTCATATTAGCAATCACATTGATGACCATGTCTGTCGAGAGTTCTTGTACTGGAACATGAGGTGGACTATCCCTGAAAAGAGACAGAATCACAGAGAACAAAATCAGTTTCTATAAAACTTACCCGAGGCCTTGTTATAACAACATTAGACTTCTACTATAAAATAGCAGACAATAGTTAAGAAGAGTTGATAAACTACTCTTCTTCATCTACCCTTGCCCTCAGAGAATCCTACAAAAAAGAAAATTAACAAAAATGTAATACAAAAGAGAAACTAGAAATATCAGCCTGCTTCATTGCCTGACTGAAGATTTATGAGAGGCAAAAAAAAAAAAAGTGTAGTAATTAAGAACACTGACTGCAGAGCCAAAATGCCTGGATTCAAATCCCAGCTTTGCCACTTCCTAACTGCAGAAACCTGGGCAAGCTACTTAGATGCTTGGTGCCTCCATTTCCTTATCTGTAAAATGAGAAGAATACTAATGCCTATTGTAAAGTTTAAATGAGTTACAATGTATAAATTAATTAACACAGTACGTAGCATAAAGTAATCACTCTGTATTAGCTATGGCACTGGAAATACAGGCCTCTTCCGCTCTGTCATGATGGATGGAATTTGTTAATTTTACCACCAGAAGATGATGTTTAATGAAACTGCCCTCACAGATTAACTCCTACCATGGTCTTTTGTTTATGCTTCTTCATTTACATAATCAAAACGTATTATCATATTAATTAACACCTCAAAACATTTATACAAAAGTGTGCTGTTTACTATTTCACACCTTAGCAAACACAGACATATTTCTAAAGTCTGTATTCCAAAACAACACGTGGACTTTAAAAATTTTCCTTATCTCTAACAATGCTGATTAATTTTATCTAGTGCTTTCACTCAAATAATTCCTGAAACATAATTAATCTTCTTTAGGACTTCTGCATTCTAATAAAGTTTAGGATGTTGTTGTTGTTAGGTGCCATTGAATCAGTTCTGACTCATAGTGACCTTATGTACCACAGAATGAAACACTGCCTGGTCCTGTGCCATCCTCACAATTGTTGCTATGGTTAAGCCCACAATGTTTAGGATACTGTAGATAAATACTGAATAGTGGCTATTTATCTGATCACTTACCCTGTCCATATCATGAAAGATGTTTCTTGTCCTGAATTTTTAATAAAATCAAATGCTGACAAAATAAGTTGATAGGGAGAATCACACAGAACATCTCCAAACGGGCCAGGGTTGGAGGCATTTGCACCTTTGGATGAAGCACACACCTTTGTGTGGTCATCTGTGATGTGGTAAGTAGGGTCTAAGTGTAAGTCGGTCACGTGCCAAAATTGTCCTGTTGATTAAACAAGAAATGCTGTTAAAACTAGTTCTTCTCTTTTGGGATTCCCATACAAAGACTTAACACTAGTGGCACTAGAGACAGTGCTCCTCCTGTGAAAGAGTAAAGTCTTAATTATTTAACGGTTGGCATGCTCTAAAGTTAAATACAATCCTTCCCTGTGAGAAGATAGAGATTCAACTGACATAGGAAGAATTTCTGTGTGTCAGAATTGATGAGCTTAGTGATAGCATGGCTGTGTAAGAAAGACTACATAATCGAAGATAATTTGTATAATGTAATACACATCCTTCCGGAACGTAAATAATAATATCGCATTTTGTCTTAATAGCAAGACTCCTAGTAGAATGTAAGGTTTTAGAAATTATTATATTCTTTTTATAGAAAAATTGACAGAAATATGATACAGTTCGTCAGTTACCCAGTGAGTACATTGCAGAACAAGGAGCTAACTATCACTCCTAAATTCTTGCCCAATTTTGCCTCTCAACATCAATGTAAAAAGAATATAAATCTTTAATATTAACTTTTAAGCCAAAACAGTAATTTCTAGAGGTTCTTGAAATCTATGTAGTAGAGGTACATCTTCTATCATACACTTCTGAAAAACGTTAATTATATTAAGAGAAGCAGATATTAAGGAAGATGATTCCATTGGGTTTTCAGGCAGAAGCCAAGAAACCATTTGATAGCATCCCTGCTTAGAATTCATCTTGAGAAAGATTCTTTCATTGAAGGAAATTCTACTATTACTACTAATAATAGTATTTCTCTTTATTAAGTATTTCCTATGTGCCAGGTTCTGTGATAAGCAATTTAAATATACTATACCGTTTTATTCTCAAAAGCACTCTTTGAAATAGGAATCATTGTTCTCATTTTAAAGTTGAGAAACTAATGCTGGGTCAATTAGAAAACTGGTTCTAGTACACCAAAAAAAAAAAACCAGAAAACAAACCTGTTGCTGTCAAGTCGATTCCAACTCATAGCGACCAATAGGGCAGAGCAGAACTGCCCCATGGGGTTTCCAAGGCTGTAATCTTTACGGAAGCGGACTGCCACATCTTTCTCCTGTTCTAGTACACACAACTCATAAATGGCAGGGTCAAAATCTTAACCACATTTTGAAGGGCTTGCACATTTAGTTAGGCATAATTTACATATCTCTTCAATGCTTTTGCTGCCCCTTCATATATAATTTTAAAGTTGTTTTAATATTGATACTTTGTCACACTTTGATTTCTTCCAGCCCACTCTGATTATCACTGATCTCCATCAGATACTCATTGGAAGTGACAGCAGCACATGACTACAGCAAAAGCATGAAGCAGAGTAAATGCATACGTTTATCTATACGAAGATGATAAAAGTTAGGTACGTATAAAGACAAACACTCGAAAAAAAACACAAAAAAACCAAAGCTGGCACAAGACAGTTAAAAATTGGAAACAGTTGATTTGGTAAGGTGGTAAAAAGGTGAGTTATATTTTGGTTGTCGTTTCTTCCTGCTGTTGTTATAATTTTATAACACATTTAAAATCATAGTTAAGAAGAGAGAGACAAAAGGACCAGAAGAAAGTCTACATAAAATAGTCTTTATAGTCAATTACTAGGTACTTGGTTACCATTTGAACATACCTGCCAAAAGTAATTTGATTTATTTTATTCCAAAATGCAGAGAATACCTTAACCATTATTTTCAGCTTAGACATATTTTATCTGGCACACAAAATGGAGTTGGTGAATAGCTCAGAATTACCCTGGAAACCGGTCTTCCTTGGGGTACTAATAGAGTGCATCTCATTTTTATATAAACATGTATTTTTATTATTTGTAGAATGTTAAGGCGTAGTAAACTGCACACAAGAGTCAGAATAACAAGGTGATTAAAAGTGGGGTCTCTGAAGTCAAAATGTTTCACTTCAAATCCAAGCTCCACCATATTATTATCTCCGTTTTACAGATAAAAGAATGGAAGCACACAGAGATTATGTTCAAGTTACATATTTCATAAGCAACAGAAACAGGATATGAATTCAGGAAATCTGACTCCAGAACGCTGCCTCTCTGTGTACTCACATTTGGATGTCCTTCATTCTCACTTTCCTCATACATAAAATAGATAATGACAACATCTACATATGAGATCAAGGTCCCTAGGTGTTGCGAACAGTTTTTTCTAGGCTACTAATCTAATGGTTGGTGATTCAAACCCACCCAGCAGTGCTGTGGAAGAAAAGGTCTGGAGATCTACTTCCATTAAGATCACAGCCAAGAAAACCCTATGGAGCAGTTCTCCTCTGTAACATAGGGGTCACCATGAGTCAGAATCAACTTGACAGCAACTACCACCACCACCATATGAGATACTGTGATGAATAAGGGAAATGAGACCATAAGGATATTGAATTTTTGTAAACCAAAACTTAGAATGCATTAAGGGCATGCCCCTCTGATGTAAACAGTATCTGGGTTTATATATCCCCAGCATATAGAGTATGTCTGTCCTACAACAGGCCCTCAGCAAATATCTCTTTAATTTACATATGACGACATTTAGGCAAAGGTAGGTTTTCAGGATTTCCTTAAGGTCACATGATAACTCAGTAATGAAAGCTGAACTGGAACCAGTCTCTCCAGACTTACAGTCTAGCGCTCCTTCTATTACACTGAATTGCCAGACAGATAAATACATAAATGAGGTAATTATTAAGACTCACTGATAAACAGACACCTAGAATAGAGTTCTGACAGGTTCCTACCCCGGGCTCCATGAATAATGAACCTCTGGAAGCTCACCCCACGCACACAAACCAAAATGCCATACAAAATGCTGTGTGTATGTGTGTGTTTTGAAGGCCACAGACCTGGCCTGTAGCACAGCCCTCGCTGCAATCCAGGTTGCCTGATTCAAAGTCCAAAGCTCTTTTCATTTTTCCTGCAATTACTTTCTTGTTTTGAAAGCAATCTTTTTACTTTTATATATATACATATATAGATAATTTCATTATGCTTTAGGTGAAAATTTACAGTGCATGCTGGTTTCTCATATAAAAATTTATACAAAAATGGTTTTGTTACATTGGTTGCATTCCCCACAATGTAACAGCACTCTCTCCCTTTGCATCCTGGGTTCCCTATGTCCATTCATACAGTTTTACTGTCCCTTCCTACTTTCTCGTCTTGCTTTTGGGCAGGAGTTTCCCATTTGGTCTCGTATATTTGATTGAACTATGAAGCACATCCCTCACCTCACGTCTTATCGTTTGTTTCATAGGCCTGTCTAATCTTTGTCTGAAAAGTCGGCTTCGGGAGTGGCTTCAGTTCTGAGTTAGCAGGGTGTCCAGAGGCCATAGTCTCGGTGGTTCTTCCAGTCTCTGTCAAACCAGTAAGTCTGGTCTTTTTCTGTCAATTCTCATTTTGTTTTACATTTTCTCCCGCTCTGTCCAGGACTCTCCATTGTAGTCTCTGCCAAAGCAGCTGGTGGTGGTAGCTAGGCAGCGTCTAGTTCTTCTGGGTTCAGGCTGGTGGAGGCTGTGAGTCATGTGGTCCTTTAGTCCTTTGGGTCAATATTTTCCTTGTGTCTTTGGTTTTCTTCATTCTCTTTGCTTCCGAACGGGATGGGAACAATAGATGTATCTTATATGGTTGTTTGCAAGCTTTTAAGACCCCAGACGCTACTCACCAAAGCAGGATGTAGAACATTTTTTTTATGAACTACTTTATGCCAATTGACTTAGATGTCCCCCAAGACTCTAGTCCTGGCCCTCAGGCCCAGCAACTCGGTCCCTCAAGGTGTTTGGATGTGTCGGGGAAGCTACTACGACTTTACCTTGGACACACTGTGCTGACTTCCCCTATATTGTGCGTTGTCTTTCCCTTCACCAAAGTTGACACCCGTCTACTATCTAGTTAGTGATTTTCCATCCCCACCATTCCCCACCTCATAACCATCAAAGATTGTTTCTTCCTGTGTGTAAACCTTTTCTTGAGTTTTTATAATAGTGGTCTCATACAATCTTTGTCCTTTTGTGATTGACTTATTTCACTCAGCATAATGCCTTCCAGATTCATCCATGTTGTAAGGTGTTTTGTGGATTTATCATTGTTATTTATTGTTGCGTAATATTCCATTGTGTGTACGCACCATAATTTGTTTATCCATTCATCCACTGATGGCCAGTTCGGTTGTTTCCATCTTTTTGCTATGTGAATAGTGCTGCAATGAACACGGGTATGCATATGTCTATTCGTGTGACAACTCTTACTTCTCTAGGATATATTCCTAGGAGTGGGATTGCTGGATCATATGGTATTTCTATTTCTAGCTTTTTAAAGAGGCATCATGTTGTTTTCTATAGTGGTTATACCATTTTGCATTCCCACCAGCAGTGCATAGGAGTTCCAATCTCCCCGTGACCTTTCCAACATTTGTTCTTTTCTGTTTTTTTTTAATTAGTGCCAGTATTGTTGGGGTGAGATGGTATGTCATTGTAGTTTTGATTTGCATTTCTCTAATGGCTAATGATTGCGAGCATTTTTTCATGTGTCTGCTACCCGTCTGAATGTCTTTGTTGGTGAAGTGTCTGTTCATAGCCTTTGCCCATTTTTTAACTGGATTGTTTGTCTTTTTGTTGTTGAGGTGTTGAACTATTATGTAGGTTTTAGAGATTAGATCCTTGCCAGATATGTCATAGCCCAAAATTTTTTTTCAGTTTGTAGGTTCTCTTTTTACTCATTATGTGAAGTCTTTCCATGAGCATGTTTAATTTTTAGGAGCTCACAGTTATCAAGTCTATCTTCTGGTGTTTGTGCATTGTTAGTAGTGGTTTATATTGTATTTATGCCATGTATTAGGGCCCCCAGCATTGTCTCTATTTTTCTTCCATGATCTTTATTGTTTTAGGTGTTATATTTAGGTCTTTGATCCATTTTGAGTTAGTTTTTGTATATGATGTGAGGTATGGATTCTATTTCACTTTTTTACAGACGGACATTCAGTTATGGCAGCACCATTTGTTAAACAGACTGTCTTTTTCCTATTTAATGGACTTTGGCTGTTTGTCAAATATCAGCTACCCATAGATGGATGAATTTATGTCTGGGTTCTCAATTATATTCCATTGGTCTATGTGCCTGTTGCTATACCAGTACTAGGCTGTTTTGACTACCATGGCTGTATTGTAGGTTCTAAGATCAGGAAGTGCAAGGCCTCCCAATTTTGTTCTTCTTCTTCAATAATGCTTTACTAATCCAGACCTCTTCCCTTTCCATATGAAGTTGGTGATTAGTTTTTCCATCTCGTTAAAGAATGCTGTTGGAATTCGGATCGGGATTGCATTGTATCTGTAGATTACTTCTGGTAAGACTGACATTTTCACAATGTTGGGTCTTCCTATTCATGAGCATAGTCTGTTTTTCCATTTATGTAGGTCTCTTTTGGCTTCTTGCAGTAGTGTTTTGTAGTTTTCTTTGTATAGATCTTTTATGTCCCTTGTTATCTGCAAACAAACTTTAAAAAGAATTTCAGGAATGTGTGTGCTATCAACATTTTTAGATAAATGTGGATACAATGGGGCTCAAAATTATACAAAGAAAATCTTTAAGTCAAAGAAAATATTATAGTTTATCCCAGAGAACCTACTGAAGAACCATAGTTCAAATGTTTGAACTTGTGGCTATTATTTAAAATAGGTTTCTGTTTGTTTGTTTGTTTATCAGGTCGATTTCTATGTACTGAATACTCCAGCAGGTCCCTGGGCTACTAAACCTCAGAGTTGTGGGCAAACACACCCACGTGAAGCCTCCCTGGGTTGTTGTCCTCTGACCACCAGGACTGACAAGATAGAAAGCAAAGGCTGGGAATTTTCATGGGGAAACAAGCAAACAAACAAACAAACAAAAAACAAACAAGCAGAGGCCAGGTGTCTTAGTCATCTAGTGCTGCTACAACAGAAGTACCATGAGTGGATGGTTTTAACAAACAGAAATTTATTGTATTCAGAGTAAAGTAGGTTAAAATCCAAATTCAGGGCATCAGCTGCAGGGAAAGGCTTTCTCTCTCTGTCGGCCTTCTCATCAATGTTCCCCTGGACTAGAAGCTTCTCCACATAGGGACCGTGTGTCCAAAGGACACGCTCTGCTCCTCACTGCTTTCTTGGTGGTATGAGGTCCTCAATTCTCTGCTTGCTTCCCTTTCGTTTTATCTCTTGTAAGGTAAAAGGTGGTGCAGGCCACACCCTAGGGAAACTCCCTTTACATTGGATCAGGAATGTGACCTGGGTAAGGGTGGTGTTACAATCCCACCCTAATCCTCTTTAACATAAAATTACAATCACAAAATGGAGGCCAACCACACAATTCTGGGAATCATGGCCCAGTCAAACTGATAAACATTTTTGGGGGGACATAATTCAAACCATGACACAAGGCTTGGTGGATATTACAAAGAAAGTTCAAGTATTTTGGGGGGCAGAGTAGGGTGGGGTGGGATGATATGGTCACAGCAAGGAGAAAAACATGTAAAATAATAATATACAATCTGAAACTGCTGAGTCAATACTTCAGGCCTTTGAACTCCAGTTACCCCTCTCCTGCAGTAAATGACTTAATCTTGTAGCTTCCCTATCAAAACAAGGAGGTGTGACATGGAAATTCACCTGGTCTCCAGAAAGTTTTCACTGAGTCACTTGGCAATCAGATCTTTAAAACCAAAAGGTAAATTTACTTGCAGTACAATGGGTTTCTCTAGAATGGCCTTTCTGGACCTGGGTTTGTAATTCTCCCAAAATGTAAGCCTCCCAAAATCATTGGTCAGGCCACAATTTGATCTATTTACCAGCTGAATAAACAGCTTATATTCTACCCCGTAGGACTGCAGTCCAGCTAGAGGATTATTTGGTTTGCTCTCCTGCTGGTAGGGCCACAGCTTGAGAGTGATGTACATAAGGGGTCAATCTCACAGAGGTTTTTGGGTAAACCCCATGATCAACAAAAGCCTGTGGCAGAGCCTGCCCTTTGGACGCAGGGTCCCTCCACTGGGAACCTCCCAGACCCAAATAAAAGAGCTGTAATATGGGTCAACGGCTGTTAACACTGAAGACCAAGAGACACAGCTGGGGCGGGCTGGTTCACCTACAGGAAGAGCTAGGCACCCCCCCACCCCAAGCAGGCGGTCACCAGTAGAGCTAGCACCCCCAGCAGGGGTTGCCTGCAGAGGCTCAGAGGATCCTGTGCAAAGGTCTTCCTGTGGCAGGGCAGAGAGGGCAACCAAACCCAGCCGTGAGGCCCAGCGGCAGAGGAAGTGCAGTGGGAGCCCCGCGGGCCCCTTGGGACAGCACGGCAACAAGCACCTGAGATCCTTTGAACCAAACCACAATGCGCCTGCTGAGTGACATAAGTATGGATGTGGGTAATTAGGGGAAGAGTAAACAGTCCCCCTGGTAAGCAGGTTCCTCTCCTCCAAAGTGGGTTACATGTAGGGTGGCAGGACCAGTTCACAATAAGTAATCTGTTCCTATTGTTTACCATTTGCTTTCTATAAATAATAATGGGTTTTACTTTGCCAGTGCTGTGTTCATGTCTTATGTGTGCGGCTCGATCATACTAGATGAAAGTAGCACCCTGGCCACTGGGTGCAATCCTCATTCTCAGCAGTCTTATTGCTGCTTGAAAGTCTGAGGCACAGTCTGTCTGCATGTAACTCAGACATTGCCATTAGTTGGTCTCGTGCAACCTAAGACATTTTATTTCAAAACTCTAAATAGTCACTGTTTTAGTCATCTAGTGCTGCTATAACAGAAATACCACAAGTGGATGGCTTTAACAAAGAGAAATTTATTTCTTCATAGTAAGGTAGGCTAAAAGTCCAAATTCAGGGTGTCAGCATCAGGGGAAGGCTTTTTTTTTTTTTTCTCCCCCGGACTAGGAGCTTCTCAGCACAGGGACCCCGGTCCAAAGGACGTGCTCTGCTCCCGGCACTGCTTTCTTGATGGTATGAGGTCCCCCTGTCTATCTGCTCACTTCTGTCTTTTATATCTCAAGAGATTGCTTCAGGACACAATCCAGTCTTGTAGATCCAGTCCTGCCTTACTAACACAACTGCCACCCATCCTCCCTCATTAACATCATAGAGGCAGGTTTACAACATACAGGAAAATCATACAGTACCAGGAATCATGGCCTAGCCAAATTGATACACGCATTTTTGGGGGGACATAATTCAAACCATGACAGTCACATAATCACAGAAACTCAACTCCAGCAATAATAGAAGCAGAACCAGCGTGCAGTAAATATTTGGGGCAATTTCTTGCTATGACTGACATTTGCCAGAGGTGGGAAACTAGATTTACAGTTCTTGCTATAAACTACCTCACAGCCGAGTCATGTGGACTTGGCTCTCAGACAAAGAGGAGACATGTTCTCCAGGGCATTCCCAAAATCGTGTTTTTGTGTGTGTGTGTGTGTGTGTGTGTGTGTCTGTGTCTGTGTGTCTGTGTGTGTGTGTGTCTGTGTGTGTGTGTGTGTGTCTGTGTGTGTGTGTGTCTGTGTGTGTGTGTGTCTCTGTGTGTGTGTCTCTGTGTGAGAGAGACAGAAAGAGAGAGGTTTCAGCACTAAGTACTACACAACTGAGTCTCTGAAACAGCTATCCTCCGAAACAAAACAGAGCTCCACCTAATTCCTTTTTTTTTTTTAAATAATGGAGTAATAAGTTTTAAAGCGAGTGGAGGGGGAGGCACCATGATCTTTTAAAGGGAAGGCTCAGATCACACTGTACAATCTCTCATCAAACATTTATTTATTCTAGACCAGTGGTTCTCAAGCATTTGGCGTCTATCAGAATCAAGGGAAGGGTTCATTAAACAGATTGTTGGGCCCTATCCCCAGAGTTCAGATTCAGTAGGTCTTGAGTGGGGCTGAAAATCTGCACTTCTGACAAGTTTAGGTGATGCTGCTGCTGCTGCTGGTCCAGAGACCACACTTTGAAAACCACTGCTGTATCAGGCACTGTGTTAAGTGCTGGGAATGAATAAAATTGGTCCTGCCTGTGTGGAGCTTAGAGGGCATCCAGGTAAAGAGAAATGAAGGTCCCATGCGTTCTAAGAGTAAACGTAGGGGTGTGTAGCAACGAGGTAAACAGCACTCTGGCTGGGGAGTCAGAACCTCAGGGAACTCAACAGAAGACGCTGAGTCCGACTGAAACTTACATCGCTGAAGTGAGGGGAAAACTCCGCAGTTCCACCTTCGCCCCTGGGCAGATTTGGGACAGCGAGACATCTAACTCAGCACCTTCCCCCTCCTCCCCCCGTAAGAAAGGCAGCTCCTCTTTCCTTTCCCAAGGAGCAAACCCCAGCGAGATGCAAGGTGTAAACAAGTAAACCGCAGGCGGAACTGGGCTACTGCCCCACCCTCGATGCGGCCCTACCGGCGCGGACATTTCGCCTTGGGAAGCCAGACCTCCGGGTCTGCGTGCCAAGCTTTCTCCTCTCTCCGTCGCCCCCCCCCCCCCCCCGCCCCCTCAGCGGCGCTGTCAGCGCTCAACGCCTCCGGGGCCCAGCTCGCCTGGTCTTGGCCGAGGCGCCCAGCTGCCCGCACGCACTTTTCCTAACTTTGCTCGAGCGCCTCTGGCAGCTCGCGGCGGCGGGGGGAGGGGATCGCGGACTTACGTACGGCTGGAGCAGGGGCCCGGGAGCCGGGAGCCGGCAGGCGCCAGGGGCATCCCGAAGCCGGGGCGGTGGTACCAGACCGCCAGAAGGCAGCAGACGACAGCGCCCGGCAGCGTCATCGCGGGCCACGGCCGGCCTCTTGATAGCTTGGGCTATCAGCTTGCTCTCTCAGACGGCAGGGCACCGGTGGTGGGGAGGAGGCGGCAGACGGCTGTGGGTGCACGCCCAGCGGATCACGTGCGAGGAAGACTCCGCAGATAGACGGCTTGTCTGCGCGTGAGCTGCAGTCTTGGGATTATCTGCCCTCTTGTTCCTTCTTAGGTCCGTGACTGACTTAGGAAGGAATGTTCTTGGGCCAACCCCAAGCAGATCATCATCCCTAAATGTCATTTGGCCCTAAACGAATGGGGTCCCTCAGCAGAAGTGAAGACAACTCTGAAGTATCATGATTTGGAAATGGATAAGGCCAGCAGAAGTTTTGAATAAACCAGTGAATCTCAAATGTGTAGTCTCTGGACTAGCAGCATTGGCACACCACCTGGGAACTCTAGTTAGAACTGCAAATTCTCAGACCCCTGACCTACTGAATCCGAAACACTGGGGATGGGTCCAATAATTTATGTTTTCACAAGTGATGCTGAAGTGATATTAATATTTAAGAACCACTGCTCAAACTCTTAAGCTTTCCACAACTGAGTTAGAAGAATGTCTCAAAACGGCGCTTTATACACCCCACCCCAGAGATGGATGGAAATCATAAATGGAGGCTGTTGTTCTTTACTCTTCCAAGGGTTTTTTCTCCCTTTTCAGATATTTACTCTGACAGAGGAGCCAAGAGTCCCAAACTGCGTTGGGTTGTGTATTGTGTTCCTTCTCTTAGCGTTTATAAGGATGCTGAACATACAGTTTGTAGGATGTGGAATTCCTTTGGAGTTCCTGAATTACTAATCTTATAAAAGATGTTGTAAAGTATATTTGTTTCCCATCAGAGCAAACTTAATTTTGTATCCTGTGTAATTTAATGGGAGCGTGTCTCATGAAAGGAGCTTTGAAATGGGAATCAAGGCACTTGGCTTCAGTTTTCTGTTTCAAGTCCTGCCTCGATTCTAGGACATTCAAAAGCCTTGTGAGAACCCAGGTGCTTTCCAGTCGTGGACAAAATGGTCCTTGGAATATCTGAGCCCACTACCTCCAGAAAATGGGGGAAAAATGGAGCAGAGAAAGTGGATAGAGAGCAGGGGAGAAAGAACAACTTTAAGAATAGGAAAATAACTTGTGAGTTTTAGTCCAAATATTATGAAAGATAGGAAAAGGATAAATTGTAAATTAGTAGCAGTTTTCATGTATATTTTTTTAAAAAATTGTTTCCAATACTCCTTACTGGAATTAAATTGGTTGTGAAATAGTTCTTCAGGAAGTAAGCCATAAAATAAGACCCACATATTTTGAAACCTAAAAAATATTTGCAATCTTAAAAAGACAGTATGTTAAAATTAATGAGTAGAGACATCATCCTCTCTTCTACCTACTCTGCTTTTTTTTTTTTCTATGTACCCACTCTCTGAGAAGCATAAAGTCACAGTGCCTGAACATTTCTGGGTGTATAACTCTATCCTGGGTGTATATTCATAGGTCTCCATGCCCATGCATTTTGTGAGGGTGTATGTCTGTATGGGGAAGAACACGTGTCAGTGTGGAAGTTTCTGCTTACTCGTTGGCGGCAGTCAGTGGTTGAAGTTCACAAGACAACTTTTAGCCTAGTTGTGTCTTTGAGGTTTTAGAATTTCAGAAATGTACTTCCAAGCTGTCACATGGGGTCCTATGAGTTGAAATCAACTCGATGCACCTAACAACACAACATCTTCCAAGGTCTGTAGATAAACTGCCTTTGGTCTCGGTAATGTTTCCTCTGTTGTTAACTATGTTAAAAATCAACAAAACAGCAAGGACAAATCAGAAAAGTTAGTGCGTTGTACGACTGCAGTGTGATATAGAATATAAATTGCAGAAAAATGATTTGCAACTACTTTGGAAACATTTAAGAAGCAAAAATATCTGTTTTTTATCTTCCACCACTACAACCCTTTGGAGCCTTGGTGGTGCAGTGGTTAAGGGCTCAGGCTGCTAACCAAAAAGGTTGGCAGTTCAAATCCACAAGCCAGACTTTGGAAACCCTATGGAGGCAGTTTTGCTCTGTCCAGGAGGGTCGCTATGAGTCGGAATCGACTCGAGGGCAATGGGTTCTACTACAACTCTTTATCATTAGGCCCCCCTAAAAAGTGGGATATTATTACCTCATTAAGTAAAGCTGAAGATGAATCCCCACCTCCATCCCCATCCCTGGTCTTGTATGTCTAAGAATGTTGTGTGCCATTGAGTCCATTCTGACTCATAGCCACCCTGTAGGGCAGGGTAGAACTGTCCCCATAGGCTTTAATCTTTACAGGAGCAGATCCTATCTGATTGCCAGGCAGTATGGGATTACCCAGTAAGCAAGATAAGCACGGGCTTACTTGTGCTCTCTTCCTAATCTGTACTGAACAATTTCACATCTTTGATGTGGTAAAAAACAGGTGAAAGTGTTCATTACAAATTAGTAAGTATGCACAAGTAAGCCTGTGCTTACCTTGCTCACTGGGTCATCTGCCCCTGTCAGGGATTGTAAATTTGAAAAGAGGCTTTGATTCTGTAGGAAGGTGCTGTAGGGTTGGGAGAGAGACAGGTGCCAGCCATACCTAGAATCTTTGAAGTAGTGAAAAATGTGAAATTGTTCACTATAGATGATCTGGTAAGATGATCTGGATAATCTGCCCTGTCCAGGTCTTTTCCCCTTCTGGGCAACTGGTGGGGTCGAACTGCCGACCTTTCTGTTAGCAGCGAAGATGCTTAACCATTGCTCTACCAGGGCTCTATTAAGAAATATGCGGAAATCACCAAGAGTTAACTAATCCTCTACTTTTGGCTATCAGAAGAGTTGCAGCAAGCATCTGCGTACTGTTCCATGCTTTACAACAGAGATAAACTCTAGTTTTAGGAATGGTAGTCTTAGGTAGACAATCTTGACAGTAATAATTGTTCGTTCAGATGTTAAATCCTATAGCTGTACTTTTGATTTTTCTGCTCTTCAATATGGTCAGTTGAAGTAATTCAATAGTTAATAGTATGATTGCAGTGAGTTAAAGGAAGTTTCCTCATACTTACAAGTTAACTAGACCTTGAAATCACTGAGCTGACAAAAAATGAGTATTGTATATTTGCCCTGAAAATATTTACCTTTGTTTTTTTCCAAGAGGATAACATTTCCTAAGAAATGATTGACAAAAACCAAACCAAACTCGTTGCCGTCAAGTCGATTCTGACTCATAGCAACCTTGTAAGACAGAGTAGAACTGCCTCACAAGGTTTCCAAGGAGCTGCTGGTGGATTCGAACTGCTGACCTTTTGGTTGGCAGCCAAACGCTTAACCCCAGTGCCACCAGGGCTCCAAGAAATGATTAGGGGAAATAAAATCTTGCATTTTTGCTTCAGAAGAAGAGTTATCTGAACTACTAATTTTTTGAGAGGAAATAAAGGGCAAGATTGAAGGGTTTGCAGTTGACATCTCAGTATTATTTACTAGCCATGAGCTCTTGAATGGATAAAAATCTCTAATCTTCAGTTTCCTCATCAGTATAGTAGAAATAACAATACCTCCCTTATTTGCATCACATTGTGAGGTTGAGAAAAATTTGTAAGAAGTACTTTGTAAACTATAACTCGTTGCAGTCAAATTAATAACAAAATAATACCTGTTCATACTTTACAAATTCAAACCCTAGGCAGTTACCAACAATCATTTACTTTGGTTTAGTCAACTCAGCTGCAACCACCATCCCCCCTCCCCCACCAAAAAAAAAGGAATTTGAATGTCTTAATGAATATTCTATGTATACTTCATTATAACACCCCTATTGACTCAATTTACCTGTCTGGAGATATACCTTCATAATCCAGGATAAAATTCACTTCCTTTGCTATTTACCTTTCAGTAAGAAATTTTGAATATATGACATTTCGATTAAATAAGAAACTTTGATATACTGTATTTTTCCACAAATAATTCATGCACTATGCCAAAACTATTTTTACTTAATTTCGTCATTGCCATGTGTTATACGTGATGGGTGTATTATCTGCGAAAAATGCAGTACATCATTTTGCTTCCTTAGACTATCCGTTTCTAATGGCTAGACTTCATTTCTCTAGCCCAACCCTCTATATCAAGGCTTCTTTGGATGCTGACAAAATGAATTTAATCATCACAAGTTTTCCATAGACGTCTCAACCAAAAAGAGTGGCATTTCCACATTTCCCTAGACTTCTGCTTACTTTTTTAAATTAGGAGCTAAATCTTCTAGTCTTATTTTATTCTATAAGAATGGCTATTTTACATAAAACCCTCTATTAAACAATTTCCAGCCAGAATAGTAATATTAAAAACAACAACAACATTTCACATATGTGTAATATTTTTATTCCAATTTGATATGCATTCCAAAAGAAAATATAGAATGTATTCACTTCTTTATGAAAAAAATGTGACTTAAAATTTTAAATGCAAATTATAAAACATGATGAATTTGCAGATCAAACCTGGACTAGTTGCTTGGAGTACCATGTTTTTAAGTCACTATTTTCCACTTCCGTACCAAGGATAACCTTCTGATTAGTGAACAGCTTTACTGTAATAGCAGGATATCACTGAGAATTTAGTAAACAGATAAAGTGTAGGGGGAAAAAAACAGCCCCAGACAGGAACCATCACCTTCCTATGCCTTCTCATAGTGGCGAACAGCAACCACATCACCAAAAGTAAGAGTCTGAAAAATTCAAAGGAAAATAAAATCTTTCTACACAAGAATATCAGTAGCTGAATTTTTAAAGTTTATCAAATTTATGTTTTAAGTATTATGAAAAGCTATTGAAATTTACAAATGCCAAAAACTGCATAACTGTTTCTTAGAATCTAAAAGAGAAGAAACTCGTACTTATTGAGGGTATACATTATTTATATATACATGTCAGGGCTCCCATGCATAGTTCATGTCCAAATCAAAAACTGAGATTAGCAATCTGGATTTATGTCAAAATAATTCCTTTCGCCTTAAATTGTGAGGGTAATAGGGGCAAACTGGGTGTGAGGATTGGCATGTCTGAATCATTTTCTCAGCTGTGTCTTTGAAAATGAATGAGATTTATAATAGCTTTTTATAACAGATTTCAATTAATAATCTAGATAAATGTTGAATAAAAACCGAACCAAACCAAACCTGTTGCTATCGAGTTGATTCTGACCCATAGAGATCCTATAGGACAGAGTAGAACTGCCCTATAGGGTTTCCAAGCAGCTGTTGGTAGATTCGAACTGCTGATCTTTTGGTTAGCAGTCGAGCTCTTTAACCACTGCTCCACCAGGGCTCCAAATGGTGAATAGTCTCTAGAAAATCCAACTCATTCGGGCTAATTGTATATGAAATGACTTGTTCTAAAATCAACGAGATAAGTATGAAGATATTCTCATTGCTTTGGCTGTCGTGTTTTAGCCTGTGTGAACCTAGGTGGTTAAGTTGGTATAATGTAAACCATGGGCTCTATCACTTTGATGTCAAATCCAACTTGAAGAATGGCTATAAAACCACTTTACAAAATGAAGGGTTTTTTTTTTTTTAAGGGCTCAATATTTTCAGTCATTGATGTTATTTTCAAGAGCGTAATATGCCCATTGTTTTAATTTCCTTGTTTGAATTTGATTTTGCCTGATTACAGTCATACATGCCAAAGTTAAGCTACTTGCTTTTCCATATTCAGGAAAAATTGAGATAGAAGCATAGACTTATTATCTAAATTATCAAAAAACCAAACCGTTGCCATTGAGTCGATTCGAACTCATAGCAACCCTATAGGACGGAGTAGAACTGCCCCCATAAACTTTCCAAGGAGCGCCTGGTGGCTTCGAACTGCCGACCTCTTGATTAGCAGCCAAACTCTTAACCACTGCCCATCAGGGTGTGGGCAAATATCTTTTAACATGAAAGGAAAACTGTCCCTCTACTCGCCCCCCCGCTCCCAATTCCGTACATGAAAGAAGTACAAACATGAAAGCCATGAATTGGAATCGATTTGACAGCAACAGGTTTTTTGGTTTTATATCTCAATGTAGGAGCCCTCGTGGCACAGTGGTTAAAGTGCTCAGCTGCCAACCAAAAGATGGGTGACTTGAACCCACCAGCTGCTACACCAGAGAAAGATGTGACGGTCTGCTTCCATAAAGATTTACAGCCTTGGAAACCCTATGGAGCAGTTCTACTCCGTCCTATAGGGTTGCTGTGAGTGGGAATGGACTAGAAGACAGTGGGTTGGGTTGGGTTTTTTTGTATACCTCGGTATAGAACGGCTCTGACTGCAGTAGTCAAGGGATGGAAAAGAAAACAGTTTTCTTAAATAACAAAACAAAAAATTCTTTCTGGTATTATCTTAGAAGGAATTCGTAAAGCAATTCTAAAAAAATGAATTCACCTACTTCACTATGTCAACGTCATCAAAATGCCATTAAAAAAATGTCTCTAAGAGAGGCTAGATCAAGGCGTAACATTTTTTCCCGTTTGTGATGCTACTCCCATTTCTCATTAGGGAAATTATTTTTTCATTATTTTTTGTTGTTAATTTTTGCATGCCTACCCAGTATTGAAGGAGCCCTGGTGGCGCAATGGTTAAGTGCTCAGCTGCTAACCAAAAGTTCAGCTGTTTGAAACCTACTAGTGGCTCCAATAAAGAAAGACCTGGCGATCTGCTCGCATAAAGATTTCAGTCTAAGAAATCCTATGGGGCAGTTCTACCTTGTCCTATAGGATCACTGTGAGTCAGAATCGACTCAACAGCATACAAAAACAATAATACCTAGTACTGATTGTACATGTTTAAAAGGCATCTTATGCATAGACAAAAGACTGGAAGGAAATAACATTAAATTGATTCTTTCTGATGAGGGATTATAGGAAAAATTTTAAATCTTATTTATAATACTTTTGTGTTACATTCTAAATTTTCTGCATTGAACTTGTATAACCTTTATCAATTAAAATATAAAATGTTTAAGGATCTCTTATTATTTATTACAGGAGCTATAAAGTAATTTTTTCTGAGATTCAACAAGCTTCATGCTCTTATAATAACATCAGTCATCTTTATATATTTTCATGATTACTGATTTTATATTTAGATTTCATTGAGCCAGAGTCAACAGCACATAAAAACACTAATCCTACCAAAAAAAATTTTTTGACACTCAGTGTTGGAACAATCAATTGCAACTTTTTATCTTTTAACTACACTAATTAGAATTATTCTCTCTTTCTACAAGTGAAGCAGAACCAAGGAAATAATTAAGCTAGAACTTTTTCTTTATCCTCTTTTACATATGGTTAAAGGTCCTCACTAGGGATAATAACGTTATTAAGAAAGTAAGGAGGGAAGGGAGGGAGAAAGAAAGCGAGGGAGGGAAGTAGAGAGGCAGAAGGATGGATGAGAGGGCATGAAAAGGAAGGAAGAAAGGAGAATTGCCATTACTCACCATAACCATTTTGCCATCCTTAACTTCTCTTACAAAATTTGTTTCTTTGCCATCCCATTTCTGTACATGAATGAGTTTGTCTCCATCCAGACTTACAACAGACTGAGATCAATAACAAAATGCAGAATATGGCAAGAAATACAAGTCAGATTTCTGATACCCAAGTCAAATAACTAGTGATTTTTTTCTTGTAAGAGTTGTATAATTGATAAACTGTAATCAACTAATTATGGTATTAGTACCATTCCCTCTGTTGCTCTAAATTCACTATTATATAAACTCTAATAAGCGATAGTTTGATTGAAATGTATATATCTTGATGCAAAAATTTCATATGTTAGAAATAAAAATCCTGAGTCAAATTAATATGCTGCTTTCTGACTAGTCACCATTCTGGTCTAAAAAAGCCTTAAAAGAAAGCAAGTTATTTACTGAGTTGATCTGAGGCTCTCACACAGATTAAACAAAGTCCAATCTTTCTTTCAAATGAACAGTATTAAATGCTTTCTGAAATACAGATTTGATATAAAACGTGAAAAACATATGGTAAGAGACAAATGGATTCAAGGTTTGAGCTATAGCAAGTACCCATTGTTCATGACATTTGTGCATTAGAATGCTATGTTAATCTTGATTTCCTCTTCCCTGAATTGAAATAACAACATCCTCTACTTCCCATCATCTACAAAAAGAAACAGAGAATCTCTTTCATTCCCTCCTCCTCACCCCTACCTGAGAGAAAAAATCTTCCTTCTTACCTTACAGTTTCTGTCATCTGCAGTTGTTTCAGCAAACTCTTCTCCCAGATGGAAACTAATCTCCGTGTTCTTGAATGTGCTTTGAGTCCTGATCACCACTTTGTCCCCTTCCTGACTGATGATCACAGTTGGTTTAGTCACATTCCCCACCTGCCTAACTGCAAAGCTCACACCTAAAACAGCAAAGGGAAGCAATACAGTCAGCTGCAACTTCCACAATAGATCACAAAGCAGGAATCTGCTTCCTGATTATGGGGTGGAGGTTTTAAAGTATAAGTTTCATTAGGGCATGATTTCTACCTTAATCATGCAACACAACTACTGAGCACAAAAAATAAGTGGACACTGAAGTAGAAACAAAAAAGACACAAAAGCCTCATATTCTCCACAGAATAGCAAATGCTCCGTTACTTGGCCCCGGCCAAGAAAGCAGGCAAGTCACATTCGAAGTCCATTCAGTGAGAAATGCATAGCCTCTGATTATGGCAATATTAGCTGTCTTTGTTGCTAATCTGATGGGTAACAAAAAGGATCTGCAAGTATCTGAAGCTGCAAATTAAGAAGAGAACAGTACCTCTGATTTTTACCTACCTAGAGCCTTCATGTACTCATCAAAGTTTTGACTGTCTGTTAGCTTCCAGGTAGCACAGAAAGCCTCCACCATTCTTGCCCTTTCCTCCCTTTAGCTTCGAAAAAGAATAAGAGACAGCAGCGAGGGTCTTCTTGTATTATTGCCACTGCAACTAAGATGACCCCTTTGCACCTCAGCTGTAGCTCCTGCCTTCTTATTTGGAAAAGAAGTGGGCAAAGGGCCAAGGATTTGAATTGCAAACCCACCAATCCTAGTGTCTCTCTCTTTCCAGGAGGCTGGCACAGTTGGAGGGGATGGGAAGGAGGGCTTGAGTGAGGATCCAATCCTCTTTGTGATTAGCTCAGGCCACTGGGTCAGCGGAGTAGGTCGAGTTCCTCCCATGCCTCACACTGTAGCCCTTATGCCTGAGGAAACTCTGCAGGAATTCAATGGAGCTGGAGGCAGGGAACAGGAAAATGAGAAAGGGTCTTTCAGATGCAAGCTCGAAAACTTGGCAAAGGCAATTTCAGACTGTGAAGAAAGAAAAAAGATACACAATAGGACATTCAGATTGATTTCCGTTAGTGGCAAAGCTGGTTACAAATGAGGAACCCCTTAAAGAAAAATCACTGAAATGCCAGACTTTTCAGACAAAAGAGCCTGAACAGTGTCTTTTATCTTCTCTCATTTTATTTGCTCTCAGAGAGAGCAAAACACAAGCTAAAATATGCCAAACTGGGGAAAATGGGAGAAGGCAAGGATGTGTAAATGAGTTCCTTAAATTGTACTGTTCAAAGTTTACTCTGACTGGGTATCAGTGAGACTCTAATTGTTTTTGGCCCCCTTCCCAATACAAATTGAGAGAATTTAAAGATACCATTGTCCTTTCCTAGAATGTGAGAAGCAGGCTGAAAAGGAAAAAAGATCTAAGGAAGACTACAATTAGTATCCACTAATGAGAAACAGAATTAAAGAAAAGAATGTTCTCCCCCCCCCCTTTTCTGCAGATTGTAGAACCTATGTGGGAAAAGTAGACAAAACATCATTTAGTAAGATTTTAAATGACCTGCAGAAACCATATGGGACAGTTCTGTTCTGCCCTGCAGGGTCTCTATGAGTCTGAATCGACTTGATGGCAGTGGGATAAAAGACCTGCAATATAGGACCTTTTAATTTTATGACCACCACGTGTCAGTCAGTATGTCATACTGTGGTGGCTTGCGTGTTGCTGTGATACTGAAAGCTATGCCACCAGTATTTCAAACACCGGCAGGGTCACCCATGGTGAACAGTTTTCGGTACAGCATCCAGAATAAGACAGACTAGAAAGAAGGACCTTAAATCTACTTCTAAAAGATTGGCCAGTGAGAACCTTATGAATTGCAGTGGAACATTGTCTGGTATAGTGCCAGAAGATGAGCCCCTCAGGCTTGAAGGCACTCAAAATACGACTAGGAAAGAGCTGTCTTCTCAAAGTAAAGTAGACCTTAATAACATGGGTGGAGTCAAGATTTCAGGACCTTCATTTGTTGATGTGACACAACTCAAAATGAGAAGAAACAGATGCAAACATCCATTAATAATAGGAACATGGAATTTCCAAGTATGAAGCTAGGAAAGTTAGAAGTTGTCAAAAATGAAATGGGATGCTTAAAGATCAGTACCCTAGGCATTAGTGAGTTGAAATAGACTTATATTTGGCCATTTTGAATAGGACAATTACATGATCTACCATGCTGGGAATAACAAATTGAAGAGAAACAATGTTGCATTCATTCTCAAAAAGAACATTTCAAGATTTATCGCTGTCAGTGATAGGATAATATCCATATGCCTATAAGGAAGACCAGTTGATATGAATATTATTCAAATTTATGTACCAACCACTCGTGCCAAAAACGAAGAAATCAAAGATTTTTATCAACTTCTGCAGTCTGAAATTGATCAAGCACGCAATCAAGATACAATGATAATTACTGGTGATTGGAATGTGAAAGTTGGAGACAAAGAAGAAGAATCAATAGCTACATAATATGGCCTCAGTGATAGAAATGATGCCAAAGATTGCGTGATAGAATTTTGCAAGACCAATAACCTATTTATTGGAAATATCTTTTTTCAACAACATAAACAGCAACTATACATGTGGACCTTGCCAAATGGAATACACAGGAATCAAATCAACTACATCTGTGGAAAAAGGCAACGGAGAAGCTCAATATCATCAGTCAAAACAAGGCTAGAGGCTGACTGTGAAACAGACCATCAATTGCTCATATGCAAGTTCAAGTTGAAGCTGAAGAAAATGCAAACAAGTTCACGACAGCCAAAGTATGACCTTGAGTATACCCCACCTGAATTTAAAGACCATCTCAGGAATAGATTAGATGCATTGAACACTAATGACCGAAGACCAGACTAATTGTGGGATGACATCATACATGAAGAAAGCAAGAGGTCATTAAAATGACAGGAAAGAAAGGAGATCAAGATGGATATCAGAAGATACTCTGAAACTTGCTCTTGAGTGTAGAGTACCTAAAGTAAACAGAAGAAATGATGAAGTAAAAGAGCTGAACAAAAGATTTGAAAGGTTGGCTCTAGAAGACAAATTAAGTATTATACTGAAATGTGCAAAGAACTGGAATTAGAAAACCAAAAGGGAAGAACACGCTCAGCATTTCTCAAGCTGAAAGAATGGAAGAAAAAATTCAAGCCTTGAGTTGCAATATTGAAGGATTCTATGAGCAAAATATTGAATGACACAGGAAGCATAAAAAGAAGATGAAATGAATACATGGAGTCACTGTACCAAAAAGAATTGGTCAACGTTCAACCATTTCAAGAGATAGCATATGATCAAGATCTGATGGTATTGAAGGAAGAAGTCCAACTTGCTGGTGAAAAACAAGCTTCAGGAATCGATGGAATACTAATTGTGATGTTTTAAAAAGAGAAGCAACTCTGGAAGCCCTCACTTTTCTATGCCAAGAAATTTGGAAGGCTGCAACCTGACAAACTGACTCGAAGAGATCCGTATTTGTGCCCATTCCAAAGAAAGGTGATTCAACAGAATGTGGAAATTATAGAACACTATCGTTAATATCACACACAAGTAAAATTTTGCTGAACATAATTTAAAAATGGTTACAGCAGTACATCAACAGGAAAATGCCAGAAATTCAAGCCAGTTTCAGAAGAGGACATGGAATGACTGATATCATTGCTAGTATCAGACGGATATTGGCTGAAAGCAGAGAATACCAGAAAGATGTTTACCTGTGTTTTATTGTCTATGCAAAGGCATTCGGCTGTGTGGATCATAACAAATTATGGATAACATTGTGAAGAATAGAAATTCTAGAACACTTAACTGTGGTCATGAGGAACCTGTACGTAGACCAAGAGGGAGTCACTGGAACAGAACAAGGGGATACTGTGTGGTTTAAAATCAGGAAAGGTGTTTACCAGGGTTTGTATCCTTTCACCATACTGATTCAATCTCTATGCTGAGCAAATAATCTGAGAAGCAAAGTGGACTATATGAAGAAGAACGTGGTATCAGAACTGGAGGAAGACTCATGAACAACCTGCAATATGCAGATGATACAACCCTGCTTGCTGAAAGCAAAGAGGACTTGAAGCACTTACTGATGAAGATCAAAGACTACAGCCTTCAGTATGGATTA